ATGACTCAGATAGGAAAGCTAGGCATATAATCTAAGAGATCTACCAAAACAGATAAAAGGAGATATGGGCAAATGTTACACTGTTTTTATTGCCTGCCTAAACTAAAGAACTATGATTTGCTGCATCTCTGCTTCAGGAGCTTGAAAATAATTTGACTTTTCCCGCGCACAGAGATGACACCCGCAGATAATGTGGGTATGAGTAACGCACACAACGTATACAGAGTTAGTATATGTCCTGAAGACAGCGTGGTCTGCACATGTGCAACTGCCTCTACAACTGATTGATATGGTTTTATCATGAAATTGTTTGAAGATACTTACTGGTGAGGAACTGTGTCTCTGTGACCTGTGTTTTCATAGCCTGTAACAGTAAAGAAACTTCTCCACCTGTATGTATGTGCATAATACAAATAGCAAATGCAGGCTGTCTAATACCACATGGTTACTGCTCTCCTGATAAAAGTAATATCTTAGATGTCAGACTGCTGGAGTTCAGGACCAAATTTGATCTCCCATGTACAGCTATCTTAAAGGCTGTATAAACAAAACAAAAAAAAAAACACCAAATCAAAAGAGGAAACAGAGACAAATATGCAGTAATTTGTTTTAGATAAAACAAAACAAAAACCTCCATAAGAGCAGAGGTAAAGCCTAATGAGATAAAGCCTATTGAGTTATAGCCCATTTCTTGCTATTCACATTCACCAGTGAAGTCATCCAGAGTGCTCTGGTTCTAGCAACACCTGGTCTCGTGCTCCACAATTTCTAATAACATAAGAGCTGCAGGCGATGAGTTGCTCATTTTTCTAGGAGATTTTAGGAGGAGATACCTAAATGAACTGTCTGCTTTCTCAAAGCACGCTGGAAAGACTTCACATGCTCCACTTCTGAAGCTGAGGCCAATAATTTCTACTTCAAACTTTGCATAGGCGTAGCTTATAGGTCTGCTTCAGACCTGGTAGCTTTGCCTAGCTACAACTTGATTGCTGTAGACGTCCTGCAGGCAGGTTACAGCTACATCTGGAAGTGCCAGACATGCTTGAGGTATCTGAGCTGCACTTGCACAGCAGTCTCAGCGAGCCCGGCACGCTGGCAGTGCTGCGGAACGCAGGGACACGTGCTGGCAATGCTGAAACAGAAACATGGGATTTCTCACCTTCGCTTTAGGCATGTGGGTAGGATTCATCTTGCCTAATATATGTATTTAAAAGTTAGGGATCTAATCCCGTTGTAGTCAATGGAGAGAGGTGGTAATGCTCTTTAGTATAACTAATCTCTCCTCAGTGACAATAGAGAAACCCTAGATGACTAGTTTAGACTAATTGCTCAACTTCAAAGGTGGGATTTAGACATCTAAAACAGTAAAATGCTATCAGATTAAAGAGTAGCTTTTCGCACCTATAGAAAACAAATGTGATTTGAGTCTAAATAACCGCACAGAACAGCAGATAACCGAGACTTAGACTGCAAGTCCCTCTTGTGAGGAGAAGACATATTTGAAATGTTTGTGCGACTCACAGTAATACACTGTTTTATATAGCTTTTACCATTCTGTATTATTGTCACGCTGCTCTGGAGTTTATTGGGCTTTTCCATTTTACAGATGGAGATGCGAACAAGAGGTTAATTGGCTTGCATAAGGTCTGACACGGGGACACGTAGTGAAATGGAAAAATGAATCAAGGCTTTCTATTCCTCTCATGATATTTGGGCTGTTGTCCTGGACACTTGTCTACCATTTCTCTGTCATGAAATGTAGTTCATTGCTTGGCTGGTAGTATTGCTTTAGTGTAGCAAAATGCCATTGTATTTTGGGCTTCTGAATATTTAAAAAATGCTATAAACAAATGGAATGGTCCAAGAATAATCTGAAGTAGAAGTAGAGAGCAGAAGGCATATTTTTAATTGAAATAAATTACTCATTATTACTGGTTTGCCACAGAATTTTTTATCATTTTGCCTCTGTAAATGATTGGTATTCCTTGGCCTTTCAAGGATTTGCAACATCACTTAATTAGTTTAGCAAACTCATAGGCCACACATAGAAGGCTTGGGTTTACGTTAAATACAGGGCAACAAAATTATTAAACTTCCACTGTATGTCATTTGTGCAGAACATTACGCAATATATACATACCAGTTATGAATCTACAATCCATTTTCATGTTAAATGTTGAATTTAAACTCCACAGCTGGACTTTCATCTTGAAAGAAGCTAGATAGCCCTGTGCATCTGGTTTAATCTTCCCTTTAGCCATATTATTTTAAAGGCACTCCTGCTTAGTACATCTTACAATTGAAAAATAATACTCATATTCCCTCTCATCCTCAGCAGCTGTGATCCCTCTGCAGATGTTGTTCTGTCAGACGTTTCATTATGTGTGATAGAAAGCGTAGGTTCTTTTTGTCTGTCTGTGTTACCGCTTTGTGGATTTCATTTTCTTTTTCTTTATTTATTCCTTTGGCCGTAGATGAGTCCTTCCATAATACTTCACTTTATTTCCTATTGCTGCTGCTTCGCCTTCTTTCTAAGCACAGAAACGATCAAGAACTTGCAACCATGCGGAGCCACCCAACAGAAGCCCATTGATTCCCCACCAAAGGGCTCTGTGTGAGCCATTCTACTCCAGCCTGAAAAGAAAGCTTTGTTCCCTCAGCTGGTAGTGTCTTAAGATGCTGATCCTTGCCATATTTTTGGAAAACTGTAGCAGTTTATCAGACTGTTTGACACTTCCCGTTCAGCTGTGTATTCCGTAGCATACTCTGATATTTGCCTCTTCTCATACATCAGTCTCACGAGTGCGAGACTGGTCTGGAGCAGCCCAGGCGTCACGGTGAGTTATGCTGGGCAAAAGTCATTTGGAGGCGAACAGTGAAGGAGGAGGAATCTGGAGTGCTGGTGGCCATGCCTGAAACGGTAGAAATGGATTTAGTATTTGGGGCAGGAGGTATGGGATTTGTCATGTTGGCTGAGTATTTTCCTGGCCGCCTTCCATGGCTGTTCAGATATTTTTAGCATGAAGTGCAAGCTATGTTGTCTCAGTTGACCTTGGAGCATGACATTTTAACATGGAATTGGTTTGAATTGTTAATCATTAAAATGATTTATTATTTTTTATTACAAGAGCAACTAGAATCCCAGTCATGTTTTGCAGATGAAAAGGAAAGCAAATTGAAACCTGTCTTCTCTTGACTTGCAGTCCTTCATGATATCCATGTTTCCTAAACTACCGTCTTCAGCTCTTTCTCTCTACATCATTAAAAGTAGATTATGCTTAGGTTTGTTTTTTAACTTGTCTTTTGGTCATTTGACAAATATTATATCAGAACGACTGCAACTAATCCCAGGATCTCACAGTGCTCTACAAGAAGTGTAGAACAAAAGGATCGTTTCTGTTGCAAACGATTTATGACCTTAATAGAAGTTTACAGCTGCTATCAGAAAGGCAAGATCTTGCTATCAGTATATTTATACTGGTGATTGCTCCCTCTTTGCCTTCATTCACAGACTCAGGTCTACCAAAAAGATCAAGCCCCTAAATGTCAACTTCTGTTAAGGAATTAGAAGCAGTAGCGCTGCATCAGGATATTGTAGCACTATATTTTAAGGCAGTAATATATAATGTAGGAAAAGAGGTTCAGACCAACCAGAGACATAGCCAGAAGTCTATGAAAGTTTGAATTTGAGTTTTGAGGTCCAGAGCTATTTCTAGCTCAGTGTATTTTACTCTTGCTGCGCTTTTTGATGAGTTGTCAATTTTGGACAATTCATGTTTATTGAGTTTTGCATGTTAACAGGACCTCAGAGGAATTGACAATCATTTTTAAGATGCATTTTACCACCACAGTGGTGCAGAGAAGCCTCTGATTGAAAAAAGCATCACGGTCTTGTTGACTTTTTTAGTCTATTAAATAAGCACCTACTCAAGTATCTGATGTAGATTTAAAAAAAAAAAATGAAATGAACCCAAAAAAACCCGACCATTCTCCTGCCTCAAAAGTCACTGCATGGTTTAAAGATTTACCCAGCAGAAGTTGAAACCAAGATGTGAAAATAAACCTCTCTTTGACTACCTTGGCAACTAGGAAGGCCACAGCCTGTTTCTACAAATTACATGGCGGATCTCCCAAGCAGGGCCAAAGAGGTTGCTTCCCTGAAATCAGTGTCACACTATGGTCCCTTTCATACATAGGAAGTGAGTAAATCATTGAATAATGCAACACCCTCTCCCGTCTGTGAGAACTCTGCCAAAGCCAAGCGTAAGGGTCTGGGTTAAAGCAAACTCAGTTACTTGGTAAATGAGTTGTGTTTTGGAGGGGTTAAAGTTGGAGGGATTTTGGACTTGTGTTTTGGAGGGGTTAAAATTGCCAAGAAAAACTGAAAACGTGAAGAAGATCCCCAGGTGCCTGCATTAATACTCCCCAGTCTCTGTGATGTGAGCTGGCAGGTCCCATAAAGCCACTCAGCCTTGAACAGGGAGGGAAGGAGGGAGAGAGCAAAAGCTCCAGCTGCAACTCCAGAGCCCCAGAAAGAGCCTCTAACCCAATTCCCTTAAAGTGCACAAGCCTCACAAGCCACAGCATCTGTTTGCCACTGTATTCACCGAGTTCACAGGGCAAACAAAAGATCCATATCAAGCATGCACCCTTCCAGAGGGGGAAAGCCTTTCCTCTTTCACCCGTAGATTTTCCCCGCTTTGCTTTCAGTTATACACATATATATATATTTTTTTAGGGGGGGTGGGGGGATGTTGCTAATTTTTTTTTGGATGGTAATTAAGAGAGCTAACACCAGCTAGGCTAGAGTGAACGCAAACAAGACCCCTATAGGCAGCACAGTGCATTAATGTAAAATATGCCCAGACAACATAACTTGTCAGAGAGGATTATTTCTGCTTAGTGAATCTGCAGGGGCCCCTTTGCTCCACCACTCAGCGTCTGACTAGAGAGAGAAAGAGAGAAAGAGTAGCCATTAGTGAGTAGCTACTGTGGCATTGATGTTTGAGCGCACTTCTGAACTGGCTTTTGTTGAGAATATCGGTGCAGAAAGCATGCGCTGTCCCAAATCCGCTGTTACTATGAGAAATGAGGAGCTGCTTTTAAGGTATGTTGTCTCCTTTGTTTTAACGCGTGCTTTCGAGTTGCCTGGGCCCGCTGCAACTATAACCGTGCTGTGTATTAAGTAGTTTCCCTATTTAAAGGAAAAGACAGGCATTGCTGTGTGCAAGTAGCATTTTCCACTAGTTAGAATCGCACATTTCATGTATGACGACAAATGTACGGAGAGGGCAAGGAGGAAAAAAAAAAAATTATATATATCTTTTTTTTTCCCCCTAAATAAGAGCTGGTATTTCTTTTATCACCTCCTTTGCAATATTTCTGCCTGCTTCATTATTATGCACTGGGCATGGAATAAGCATGGAAAAAGCTCAGGGAGACTCCATATTAGAGCTAGTGCCCTAAATACCACTTTAATTTTCACTTAGCCTATGTAAATAGTTACTAATGCTCTACCTAGTCTTTACCACTTAAAGATGTTTTAAAAATATCTAAATACTCCCATACGTGGGATTACACATATATTCTTAATGTTCCAAGGTTTAGCGGGGGGCCAGCATCGACTACTCTTTTCAGAGACACACACACACACACACACACACACGCAGACACATGCACACACGCACATACACACAGAATTATGCTAGAATTGGCACCCCGCTTTGAAAAATGTAGTCTTTTGTTTATTTGCTAGCAGACATTGTAGCATTGAATACATCTTTTGGTCTGACAATGGGACAGCTGAACAATGGTGCTGTCAAACTAGCTTAATGTATGTCTGGCGATGGGGTGGTTTGGGGTTTTTTTTCTTTCCTTTTCTCAGCCCCTTTTTCATTTCCCTTAATCTTTTTGTACGTACGGTAGCATACGAAGTGTATCGCCTATTTTGTGACTGTTGTTGCATTTGATACCTGCTGCTAAGAGTGCGGGGAGGGGGAGGTTTGCATCTTACAATTATGCCTATTGCATGAAGTTGGAGATTTATTACTAACCTCTCCTTTAACTGTGGCGAGAAAACTTACTGATTCTGAAAGCTTACAATACTGCTGTCAGTCTGGCAAATACATAGTTGCCAAATGTGCCCTTGCCGGATTTTATGCCTGATCATATCAACTTTAACTGCTGTTTTGAAGATACTGTTTCTAATTTTGTTTAGGTAATGAAAATGCAATAAAAATGATAAATCAGATCTCAAAGTGGGAGCCCATGCTACTTTCCATTTTTATAATCCAGCTATTAGCATACGTTAGAATTTTTTAAGGTCAGGCAGAATAATTTACCTGGATGATTCCTATCCCAAAATCTAACAAATTATTCAGATGACATTTCATGAATTATCTTTCTGTTTAGACAGCCGTAGTTTAGCATTAGAACAGTTAGCAATTTGGGGTTTGAATTTGGCAAAATGCTCACGCATCTTATGCATTCTGAGAAGAAATTGTTATAAAGCTTTTGAAAAATTTTGAGTTACTACTTGGACAGCAGCTTGTGCCTTAAATAAAATGAATTGTCATCAGTCTGTGGAGTTTCTGAAACTGTTTAAAGTCTTTAAATACTTTACATGTTAAGTAAATATATTACTTTTAATAATAATTGTAAGCATTTTCTGAGAGAAAAGAGAGAGATTTATCAGTGGCTTTTATTTTTTGCTTAGATCAATTAATTGTAAGGGTTTCATGCTTTTTTTTTAAAGTGGATTCTAGTCCATGATTTATATGGGTCGAGGGGTCTCTTGGACCCCTTAATTAAAAAAAAAGACATTAAAGATTTATTGGTAGCAGTCAGAGCTCTCTAAAGCATGTATTTTCAACAAAAATATGTTTTATGGGGAGACTCTGAGTACTTGCTATGCTTTTTTGCATTTTTTTTATTGTTGTTGCATCTCCTTCCCTTGTGTGTTGAGATGGTATAAATCAATAGGAAAGAGTTTACGTGAACAAAAAGGTAATATGGTATAAAATACGCTAGAAGCCTAGGGGTTATGGATTATCAGGTAGTACTTGCATGCTGTGTGTTGTGCATAAACATGAAGAAAGCAAGGATGGTGTTTAATGTAATGGGACCATTCACTTTCTTGGAAGAACTTCTTCTTTCGAGACAAACATTAACTCATTCACAACTGCTCTGCTTTGCCAGAACTAGAGGAGGGGTATGCTTTTTTATCAAGTTATCCTCCTTCAGCCTGGGCTTTTTAGCAGCTGCTGCCCTTTGTGAGTGGCAATAAAGTGAATCCCTGGCTCTCGGTTACATGGAAAAGCCCCTTTAGTGATTGCCCAGAGTAGTGTGCATGCCACTTTTGTAGCAGACACCACCAGCCACCTAGGCAGCATACCCAACCACCACTTTTAAGGACTATTCAATACTAAAACTGTTTCCTAAGCGCTCTTCTCACAGGTGAGTTCATACTAAACTTACAGTAGTTCCTGTGTTTTCATATAAAATGCTGCATAAAATACATATACTGCAGATTTTTGTCTTGGATTGCCAATTACTTTGTTCTTTTCCAAGGGTATTTTCTGACATTGCATTCACATCAAAGACTAATTTTTGAATTATTCTGTGTGAACCCTACTCCATAAAAAAATTATTTCTATGCATATTTACTGAAATATTGCTTTTTGAGCCATAGCAATTATTATTAACATCAAAGAAGGTGAAGCAAATCTATAACATAAGCCATTTCTTAGCATGCTTTAACAAAAGTGTCAGCTTTTGAGAGACTATATAGGTTTCGAGATCTTATGCATGAACATCGCAGGTGTCCTTAGCGTTACCTGTTTTGAATCTCACCCATTCACAAAGCAATGTGGTGCCTTGCAGTTGTCAAACTTGGCAACATCTGTTTCCACAACAGTGCTAAGAGAGCTAATTCAGACTCTGCATGAGTTGTTATTTGTTCTTGCAATGACCAGGTGTAATGCCAAAAAGAAAGACCCTCCTCGGTCCTACCTGTCAGAGCAAGAGCAGGAGAGGTCTTAACCTGGGAACTGGCTTTCCATGCTGCCATAGGAAATGGAAGTGAATTATATTTATTTATTAGTCTGGAGTCTTTGTCTATATTTTTTTTTTTCAGATTCATGAACCACAATCTCTAACATCAACATGTTAATATTCTCTTTGTTAAATGAGAATAAAACTGAAGTGTTTCTGTTATCAAATTTAAGTATATAAGATTGCAAACTATACCTTTGGGGCTGAAAAACAAAGGAGAGCATTCAATTAATATTCATATCTAGAAGTTTTCCTGCAAGTGTAGATTGTGCTTGAATACTTAAGAAGTCATTCAGGAGTGAATCAATACTAATTATTGTAATCAGGAGGGTTAATTAGCTGAAGATGCTGCTGATGGAAAGTTCACTGCTTACAGCCCTGAAAACACCTAAGTTGATGAAATCTGAAAGCAAGATGTCTAAGAGGACTTTGTATGGAGAGAAAAGCTTGGCTTTCCTTTGGCATTTCAAGAGCCAGTTGTTCCAAAGGGGAAACATAGCTCGTACTTTGCGTTTTGCATGATATTAATTCAGGGGGTATTAGAAGATGCAACTAAATCTGTCTTGAAGATATTTTCTGGTAGTTTCTCATTAAATGCAAGTACCATTTTGGATAACCTGTACTGTCTCTGCAGCATTCATTTGTAGATTACCATAAATTAATATGGATAATCTTATGCATTTGAAATCTTGTTCCAGCACTGTTACTTGGAACAGGTTTTTGTTGGGTTTTTTTGTTTTGTTTTTACCATTTGTGTGCAGGCACGGCGTCTTTAAATGGTATATGTACATGAATTACACATGGTCTATATCTAATGTACAGGTATAGATCTCTGTGCACATGTACACACGTACACATAAGTTTAAACATTTTTTCATTGCGAGTGTTTATTTCTATAGTCCTGTGCCCTCAAAACTCCCACTCAGTTTCCATCTGCAAAAAAGTATTCAACTACATAGAATTCAGAGGACAGTTATTGAACAAGTAGTTCATGAAATTTAAGTTAGAAGATAAAGAATAAAGACTGAAAAGAAACGACTGAAGAAAATCCTTTTTTTTCCCTTAATTAGAGCAGTTGTATTTCTTAAAGTGAGCATTACTGAATTCAAGCAAAATCTAGCTATACAAAATCTTTTCTCACAAGTGAATTGCGGGAAGATTTTTTCTTTAATGCTGGGTGTTCGGGGCTTTTTTTTTCCTCCTTTCCCCTAGTTATATCTATTAAGGTTATAACCAAGACAAATGTCTGGATGTTTATTCGAGAAAAAAAACAAAACAAACCAAACCACAAAGAACCCCCTCTGAGTCACACACACACACTCACATAAACCCCCCGAAGTCAAGTGATGCTTTCAGAAGAAAGAAATTCTGTTTCAAAACACATCCTTCTTTGCTCTCTAATGACATTAGAGATTATCACGTGCAGGTGCTATTTATCTTTGCAACTGCTTTCCTATGACTGTTTTACTGCTTCCAACACATTTACTTGTATGTCAGCCATAGAAAAGGTAACTGAAAATGGCAGCTGTTGAGAAAGCATGTCGCCATGCCTGGAATGACATGCATTATCAGGGCAGCAGGAGTTGCTGGCTCTCCAGCCCATTTCTACTTGACCTGCCGAATGATTGGCTGCCTGGGATGGTGATGAATCACTGGAGTTTATGAAACAGGACTGCTGGCATCCTCACAGAGGAAATAAAACCGGGTTTTTTTCTATTCCTCTAACACTCTTGCTGTGGCAAAAAGCTTTTTTGTTTTGTTTTGTTTTGCTTTTGTGTTATTTCACCCTGCGGCGGAAGTAAATGTGTCAATTAAAGTCGCTTTAATACTGTTCTTGGCAAGTTAATAATGCACTGAAGGTTAACTATCTTTATTGTATGGGAGGGGGCAGGAATTTTCCCAAATTTTGTGTAAATCTTGATCTGGACCCTAATTTTCTCATCTCTCACTCCAGTCTTGAGACTGAGATAGCATGACTAAGTAATCAGCTCGAGCAGGATGTAAAAAGGATTTTGGCTGTTCTCACACACAACTTTATTTTCTCGGATAGTCTAA